TTTTCATATTTAAAGAATTTGCCACTGATGATTCAAACGCGAGTTTTGAGCAGTGTAGAGTAGCGCTTGCTTGTCATTTATCCGATCACAAATGCAGACATGGTTTTATGTTTACACGGCGCGATGCAACGCAGCGCGTAAAAAGACAGTATAAGTAATTATAATCCGTAATTATGTCCCCACTGGATCCAAGAAATAATGGGTTTTAATGTTTTAGCAACATCATATGACCCCTTTAAATACTATAGCATTTTAAAGCATCATCATTTTTTATATATAATTGATTATTGTATTTGTTGAACTTTTGTCTTATATTGCATTGCAGTAATGGGAATTGTGGGTGAGGCAACAGTGTCAGTAGCTAATTGTGATATTTTGGCAGAAACTATTGATACCATGGTAATTCCTATCAGAGTACCGACAAAAAATTATTGAGTGGGACTGCAGATCCGGAATAGTTTTCAACCCGTCTCCGATTGTTGATTCAGCAGGGACAAACAGCGAAAACTGAGCTCGGATCAGCATATTGGCTCTAATATACTGGTTAAATATGAGCTCAGCAGGTCCCAGAGCAAAGCTTTGATTAAATCAGCGTCCACGGAGAGGCTGCGTTTTCACACAAATCTGATTTCCTCCCTCCAACTCGTCTTTTTCCGCATCGCCGGGGCAAGAAAACCACCAAGATTGTGAGAAGATTATCTCAAACCTCATTCCTAAACAAAACTCCGCTTGAAAAGTTCAAATCTCAAGAGGAGAGCCGCGCGAAGCCGTCCAAGACATGTATATGAGAAAAATGACGGCCGTGGATCCAACTCCATCTAAACTCAATATAGACTCTTATTTTAGAGAAACTGCTAAAATGATGAACAACGCGTTCCTCGACACGCCGTTCTGTCACGTGACGCAACGTACCGAATTTATCATAATTCTCCGGCGGAGCGGAACGTGACCTATTTACGTTTTATTTCCGAAGACGGAGTAATATTTTTTTTTCTTTTTACAATCTGCAGTCCCGCCGTACCGTCACTAAACTGTCTTGTTACATATCAAAACTAGTTTTTAGACTTCAGAATTGACATAAATGGTTTTAAATTGCCGTGTAACGCAATTTAAGAGTACTTATAAGGTCAGGAACCGCGAAAACACGGTCTCGGTCTGACAGAAGAAGGGAAAGACGTTAACATTTCCACTCTGCCTTTCATTAGGAAGAACATAAGAAACCGTTTTCAATTGAGCTGTCAGTCAAAATCTATCTGAGGTTATTATGAACATAATCAGAGCCGAGTAAGTAGTCCTTAAGTTACCACACACACACACACTGACTTTACAGAAATATAAACACATCATTCCCGTTTCATTCAAGGCACCTTGACAGCTCAATATTGTAGGCTACTGAATGAAATGTCCCCATCTCCATTCATCCACAATGAAGGTAGAAAGGAAATGAGAAAAGGAAAAGGAAGGGAAGCATGGAAATGAAAGCCAGGAGAAGCTAAAACTGACATGACATGAAATTCGAATGAGCATTTCTTACTTTCTTAAAGAGCCCATGACTTGCAGTGCAGTTTACTTTTTTGGACATTTGAGATGATTACAAACAGGAAGTTGGAAAGATAATCTTAAAACACTTTTTACAGAACAACCATACACTTTGTGTGAGAAACAACTAAACTACTTGTTAATCGGTAGCAGGTGGTATCAGTGGGAGGGACGTTTCTCTTTCAAGAGAGAATTTGATTGGTCAAATGTTTAAGCGCAAAGCGATTCGTTGATCTTTTCGTTTGTTTTCATGGGAAAAGAAAAATTCGGTGTATATCGGTATAAGTTCGTTCCTCTGTCAACATTAGGTGTTGTGTCAGCATGTGTTAGAACGACTTTTCCCAGCTAATAAACGATAAAAACAAGTGGAATCCACCGACTTTAACAATTTTGGGCACCGAAAGCAGACAATAAAGCTGCAGCATTAAAAACAGGGCATTATCGTTCATTGGTGTGGATGCTGATATAGCTATTGTTATAGTTATGGTTTGGAAAGAACGTCCTTTAAAGGCCACAAGCCCTTGATTTAATAATAATCGTTTTAAGTAATAAATGTTCCTAGTCTTATTGTGTGCAACTGATCAGTGAATGTTATTGTAAAGAAAACGAAAAAGTCTGAATGTTTTCATAACAAAATATACAAACTTTGACTACCTATGAAACAATTATCCTGCTAATTTAAAATGCACAAAAATTTCATTCAAAATAGTAGTTTTTATAATAAACTTCACTAGTTTTACTGTGCGCAATTCACCAATGGTATGAAAACAAAAGAGTCTGAATGTTTTTCGTAACTAAATAAACCAACTTTCTTTGATTCAAATATAATCAAGGCTGTGTTGGTGAGGAAGATTTGTTAGCTACTTTTCACAATCCAATCAAATCCTAGTGGCCAACATCATTCTCCAAGTACTACTGACCTCTTTAAATCCCCAAATGTGCAAAACTTTTCTCAGGTTAGCTAATAAGCAGACAGGCAGCACTTGCCCTACAGGAGGAGTGATTTATAAGTGTGTAAGATGAGGAAAATTACATTTTGAGGTTAGAAGCAGATGCTAACAGAAGATAGTGTCTCAAAACACCTGGTTTATTACCAAACGACTACGTAAAAAACACTGACATTCTTCATAAACCAGATCGGGCTCTCACGGGGAACAAGGTTTTTTGATGTCTGTGTTGGTTTGATCAGACCACATATAATATATCTGAACTGCTGGATGCTAGATACACATAACTCAAGAGCACCATCTGGTGGTCAGGAGAGGAAATGCACTTATTCTACTGAGGGCTGCTGCTGAATTTAACACAATGGATTTTTCACAATGGAAAACTACCATACTATTATTCATGTAGTATGCGTGTACTCTCTATGTATAAAAAAAACGACCCTATGCAGTTGCCAAAATGTGCAGTACGCAAAAAAAGCAATTGAAGTTGCCTACTGATCGCTTCCCTCAGCAAAAGCTTGTATGCTTATAATGCAGTTTAAACATGTCAGTTTTGAGCCCCGTCTGTGGTTTGGGACGAGGAAAGCCGGCAGGATATGACATCATGATTTAACCTGCTGTTTTACTGGGACTGCAATCTTCCAGCAGATATGCTGATCTTCAAAACGTTGTTCATGTGGAGCTGTGTAAGCATATGGCTTGCGTAGAGGAACAAAACCTGCTTTTTGAGCGAGCAAGGTGATATTTTCTTTTACTCAACTAGTTTTTTCTCAAGAAAATCAGACAGCAAAACATTTATAACCTTCAGTAGTTTTGAAACCAGGTTTACTTTCAATTTAGTTTGAATTACTACACTTAAAATAAGATGTAATATTAGCCTAGAATATTGGCCTAATCAGATTATTACTAATTGACATTAAGAATGCGTATTTAACTTTATAACTATTAATATATTTTGAAAAATTAAGACAACACATTTTGATAACCAATTTTCTTGGATGTTTATTAGACAATCCAAAACATCATCCATACAGACTCAGATCTAATTCTATAATAAAGAACTGTGGCATTCCAAAAAAAAAAAAAAAAGACAGAAACCTAAAAGTTTCGTACAGTTCCAACGGTGGGCAAACACTGAGGCACAAACCTTTGGTATCTGGTGAAAGGAGGTTACAACAGCACAACAGGAGTCTACGCCACATCTACAGTGAGTTTCTCCTTGTTATCCACATCCAAACCCCTTCAAAACGCTCTTAAAGCGGTTTTAAGAGCACCGAACAGAGAACAGGTTGACTGCTGGTTCGTTTGAATGGCAGCCCACTTATTAACCAATCAGAATCAGCAGCCAGTGCGGGGAGAAGACAGGAACAGAAATCGAATCTTAAATACTGAGATCATAGGAAATGGGACAGTTAGACACAACCTGCTGAAATCTCTATCGTACAGTTTTAAGGCTCAACGTACACCACGATGAACAGAACAGATCAGCTGAGAATTCTGGGATGCGATCTTGACCATTCAAACATGGCACACGAAACAACTACTGTAAAGAGTGAAAAAAAAAAAAAAAAAAAAAAATTTACAAGCATATGGTCTTCAAAATCGTAAAACAACAGTTACTACGCAAAGGACCCTGGGCATGATGTCGTCATCGGTTCAGTTTTCTAAAAGAGGGTAACAACATAAAAGATAACTTTACAGTACATTAAAATTTACAATATATGGAAAGCGATATAATGGAATCTGTGTACAGGCATTTTTGCGAAATGTCAGCTAGAATTTTGCGAAGTTACGTTTCGGCTGACATTTTTCGACTTTAGGAAACTCCAAACCTGAGCATTCGTGAAATATAATTAGACAGATATATCGATACAAATAAGAGTGAACAGATATCTGCACCTTCATTTTGTAAACAGTCACACGTTTCTATTTTCATCCCTTTGATAAACGAAAAACAAAAAAACAGTGAATCAAGCATGAAGAACATACAAATATTCACTTTTTATCACATTGCGTTTTTCCAACTAAAACTGGTTAAAATTGCCAGAAGCATTTCGCAATCTCTTTAGCAAGCAGTACGACTCTACGAGGTTGTAAAATCGTAAATTTGCAAATGTTGTTTACACGTTTACACTAAAACACTGTTACAACCTTCACTTTGTAGTTTTTTTCTTTAAATTCAGTGATAAAACATGATTAAATCAAAGAGAGACTATGACATGTAACGGATGAGTGATTCTTGCATAAAATTAGCTCAAGAACGAAAATCGTACGTTTTTTTTTAGGTTTTACGTAAAAACGTCTGTTTTTCCGCTAGTTTAGAAGTTGTGTGCATTTAATAGGGAATCAAGGATATTAAAAGTGTCTTCATAATCCATGTGTGGACCGTTATTTATTAAAGCAGCACTGGGCTCAGAACTCTGCCCCTCCCCCAGCCTCCTGTCAATCTTTGCCACCTGGGCGTGGCCTATAGGTTGATTGATAGATACGGAGGCAGAGGAGGAGTGGCTCTTGGAAGATCGGTGAGATTTGGATGAATGGTGGTGATGGTGGTGGCTACCGTGCGAGTGTGACGAGTCGTGTCTCGCCATTTTGTGCGATGAATGTTCGCGATGTTTCTCACGGCTCGAGCGAGGACTATGACGGCTCTTACCGCTGCTGCTACTTTCAGACAAAACCTTGATCTTCATTTTCAGCTCTTCTTGACTAGCAGAACCGTTTTCCAATGAGGAAGGGTGACGCCGTTTTAGTGACCCGCTCTTTAACGATCGTTCCGGTACCTGCTGTTGGGAATACTTTACCCTGATTGACGAAGACGGTTCGGACGATAAATGTCCGTGTTTTCGATGCTGGTCGCTTTCCTCCTCTTCGTGTCTGTGTCTTTGCTCTAATTCGGCCGCGTGTTTTTCACGGTATTTCTCTAGAGTGAGTTTCTGAGAGGCGAGAGTTGCTGAGGCGTGTCCGTTTTTGCTCGCCTGCGCCCCCTGGAGCGAGAGAAATGCGTCTGCGCTCTGGGAAATTGGTGCAGGAAAGCTGAAAGCAGAACTCTGCAGGTCCGACAGGCCGTTGAGTGACATCGATGCCCCATCCAATGGGAAACAGGTGGATGGTTCAGAATACATGCCTCCTGTGATGTCACACATGCTCCCCATCAATGAACTGTCCTGGCTCAGAGTTGTCTGGAAGGAACCGTCTAAAGATTGGTTGTCGAGTTTTGGTTTCTTGGCAGCTTGATTGGCCTAAAATGAGAACAAAAATAAATAAACTTTAAAATTGGTCCATTACTTGACTGCTTGCTATTAAAATGTTTATCACAAAAATCAATTTTTTCCATACAAACAAAAGTATTTATACATACCCGCCAGTTTCTGATTCTTTTTAATCTGCTTGGTGTTTTTTCCAAGATCTGGAGAAACTCGTGAGTCAGGTCTACAGAAACAGAGGACATACAAAATATACAGAATATTAATACATAAAAATCAAGGTGCAGCAATTACTGGACAAAAATGTAAATTTGAAATGCAACCCTTCGAGAAAGATAAATTTGTCTAGCAAATTATTAAAACAAAATGAGTAATTACAAAATAAATTAAAATCAAAAGTATTTTCCCTTTAATTATAAATAATGTTAATTAAATAGATTTTTAATTGATTCTAATCAAAGTGATTTTTCAGTTTTTAGGTAACCATAATATAATAAAAAATGTATAAAGGTTAAGTTGTGTTTGACTGACCATCAAGCAGCTGCAGAGTCACAGCTCGGTCTACATATTCCCACCAATGTTTCCCATTCGAAGAGACTGGAATCTCCCAATTGGACCACTTGCAGGCCAGGTGAATACAGACACATGCCACCACTGTGGGTTTGTGCTGCAGGCAGAAGGTAGTCAGGTGCAGACTGCAAGAGAGACAATAACACAGAAAACACAGAAAACACTCCATTACAAAACAGAAGACATGAGAAACGCTTTCCTAAGATCCTAACTTCATAATCTTAAATTCATTTCCATTCTTCTTAGTTCATCAGAATTATCATGATTATGTCAAAGCTGATCATCCAGTCAGGTGTGTGTTTGCAAGAACGTTCTTTGTCTGGTCAGCTGTAAAACAAAGTTGTATGCAATTTATGAAACAGATTCAATCAGTAAAATACAAATCAACTCAATTAACATTTAAAGTGTGGCATCAGTGTAAGCAACACCAATGCCGCGTTTCTGAATCCCGATGATCCATTTCTCAAATCGAAATTGCTCTCTCTCAGCAAGTGGGCATTAACAGCAACTCAACTTCCTGCTGCGTTAATGACCATACCGGCTCAAAATCATCTTACTGGCTTAAAAATTAACTTTTATTCACTAAATCGGTGACAACAGAAGATGAGACTTCAATGTAATCAATCAGAATGGAGTTGTTTTAGGTTGGCTAATGAAACGCCACCTGATTGGTTAAAGATTCAGGTTGCTAACACAAAGGTGGCAGTTTGGATTTCAAAAAGGGAGCTCAAGTAATAATAGTGTGCCGGAGGAAGTAAGCATAGGAAGTAATTAGAACACTGGAGAAAATAGTTTTAAAATTAAGTAAATATTCATGGCGCTTAAAGGAATAGCTCATCCAGAAATTTACATTTCCTGAAAATGTACCCCCTCTCAGGCCATCCAAGATGTGGATGTTTGTTTCTTCAACAGATTAGGAGAAATTTAGAATTACATCACTTGCTCACCAATGCATCCTCTGCAGTGAATGGGTGCCGTCAGAATGAGAGTCCAAACTGCTGATAAAAACATCACAGTAATCCACACAACTCCAGTCGTTTAATTGACATTTTGTGAAGCAAATAGGACTGTTTTCACTTGTAAACTGTGCTTGATCTGCGCATATTTCTCTCCTGATTCAGACGAAATGACTTTTTCACTGAAGAAAGCATTATGGACTCATTTTACAGTCGGAAGCATCAGTTTAAGGTTAAAACACCTTAATGATAGATTTGTTTCTTTTAAACACAGCTTTTCACTTTCAACAGCTTTCACTGGATTTGTGTAGATTACTTGTGGATTGATGTTTTTATCAGCTATATGGACTCTCATTCTGACGGCACCCATTCACTGCAGAGGATCCATTAGTGAGCCAGTGATGTAATGATATATTTCTACAAATCTGTTCCAATGAAGAAACAAACCCATCTACATCTTGGATGACCTGAGGCTGAGAACATTTTCAGAAAATGTTCATTTTTGATGAGCTATTCCTTTAAAACCAACAAAACAAAGTAGTTGTCAAGCCACAAAATAAAATATCAATAATGCATCATTAAAAAAAATAAAGTAGATAAAAATGTATTTTCTAGACCAACTGCAATTTTAAGCAGAAATACTAATATTTTTATTTAATGTCAAGGGTATGACAGCAAAAAAAGTGAAGTATCCTAAATAAAAATAAAATACTTTTTTCTTTATTTTTTATGATTTTTTACTGTAAATAACAGTAACAGTAATAATTGAAAAATAAATATAAAAATCAAATTTAGACCAAAAAGAAACATGAAAAAGAAAGCACTCTCTGGTACTTACCGTGACAATCTCTAAGTTTACACCTTTGAACTCTGAGCTGATATTCAGGCTACCAATTGAGTTATTGACCTATGCACTCTCAATCAAGATATCTCTATTAGCACCGCTACACTCCAGGCTGTGTATTCAACCTTCTGCGCCAACAGCAAGCCCTCCGTACATTACACCGCACTGCGCCGGGCAGGACAGCAAAACACCCCGCCCAGGCGCGTGAGGGGGTTGGACACAGGAAGGAGAACCCTGCCTAATAGGAAGTCATAGGGTGCCATGGCAGTGCAACAAATAGGGGTCAGGGTAACAACCTGTTGGTAGCCATGAAATAGGAGGTCTGGGCCAAGTCCTTGCTCGCTGAGGGGAGAAATAGAGAAAGAGAGAGAGAGAGACAATGTTGGATTAAAATTCATTTTGACTTTTTTTTTCCATTAAAAATGTATCAGATTACCCACCAAAAAAACAGAAGTGCTATATTATAATAAATAAACATGTATATTATACATTACCATTTAAAGTTTGAGGTCAGTACGATTTTTAACGTTTCTGAAAGAAGTCTCTTATACTCACCAAGGCTGCAATTATTTTTAATAAAATACAGTAAAAACAGGAATATTGTGAAATATTATTACAAATTTAAATAACATTCCTACTTTAATATTTTAAAATGTAATTGTCCAAAGCTGAATTTTCAGCATCAGTCTTCAGTGTCACGTGATCCTTCAGAAATCATTCTAATATGCTGATTTGCTGCTCAAGAAACATTTCCGATCAATGTTGAATAGAGTTGTGAGCCAGGAAAAAGAAAAAAAGTAAAGAGAGTGAAAGAGATGAAGAAAGACTAAGAGCAAAAGTTGGAAGCATCTACCTCGCACTAGCTGGGAACATCTCACCACATCTGTGTGTGGATGATCTATTGTTATCTCAAACCCTGAAACAAAATCACCGGTTAGACAGGACTCATGTGTTCACTGCTTTCATAAAGCACAGATTTATTAGCAGATCCTGTAACTTACCGAGTGTCTGCAGCACTATAGCCTCCAGCAGCACCAGCTCTTGAGCCTGCTGGAGGTACGCCTGTGGATCAACACAAATCACACCTGCTCATTAGAGGGGTCTGGTCCCAATGCTTCTGACGATAGCCCATCAATTGACTTTTTCTTATTTATAATGTATAATATATTACAGAGATAGTTCACCCAAAAAAGAAAATTCTATCATTAATTACTCACCTTCATGTCGTTCCAAACCCGTAAGACCTTTGTTTATCTTCAGAACACAAATTAATGAAGCTACGAGAACACTTTTTGTGCTCAAAGAAAGCAAAGGAATGCACACGCATGCATCGTGGCTCTGTCGGTAATGTGTGTCGAAGACTGACACCGATGAGCAGAGATTACTGAATAAAGTCATTATTTTTGCTTTCTTTGTACACAAAAAGTATTCTTGTAGCTTCATAAAATTACGGTTGAACCACTGATGTCACATGGACTATTTTAATGATGTCCTCCTTACTGCCTTTCTGGGCCTTGAACATGGTAGTTGTGTTGCTGTCTATGCAGGGTCAGAAATAGGGGTGGGAGAAAAAAAATCGCGATTCTCTCTTCAATATTCAGAATCGATTCTGAGCTTGGTTTTTTCACGTGCGCTTTGTGTTTGATGTCCTGAAGCTTGCGGCTGCGGTTAAATGCATAAATACTTTTATATGAAATTGATGTAAATACAGTCAGTTGTGTTTTCAGAACAGGACAGAACATCTGATTTATCGAAAATACAGAAAATCGCAATAATGCTGAGGAAAAAAGAAAACCCCATAACTAGCCTATTGTCTGTAAACTTTCGGATACTTAAAGAACACTTATTTTAAACAAGTAATTGTTTTAAAAAGTAGTCTGTTTATATAATAAAAAAAAATTTACATTTGGAACAAATTAAATTTGATATAAAATTTATATGAAAATGTAGCCATGTGCAGAAATATTGAGAACTGAGAATGTGACGCATCGTGATATTGAGTTGATAATGATAATCGTAATTGAATCGTGAAACCAGTGAAGATTCACACCCCTAGCTATTTTTAAGATGGCAGTGCTCACTTACAGAGATTCCAACTATAAACAAAAAGCATAGAAATTGCAATTTTGGTTAAAATATAAAATTGTAAACATGTATTTGCACAGCAGAAGAATTAATTAGGAAAAAAAATGTAGATTAAGAATCGTTTTGGAATCGGATCGTGACTCCCAGAATCGGATCGTGAAGTACCTAAAGATTCCCACCCCTAGTCAGAACGCTCTCAGATTTCATCAAAAATATCTTGATTTGTGTTCCGAAGATCAACAAAGGTCTTACGAGTTTGAAACGACAATAAGGGGTGAGTAATTAATGACAGAATTTTGGGTGAACTATCTCTTGAAACCTTGAGGTTTCAATAAAGAGAAACCTTTATTGTTTTAAGTCTTTTTTTTTTTTTAAAGCAAATTCAAAGAGCCCCATTTACTTTCATTATACATTCTACTAACCTCATTGTGCATGACTCTTCAGAAAGAGTAAAAAATATTTTCATAAACCGTCAATATAATAAAATTATTAATAAATACAACCATTTTTTAATTACAATTGTTTTGTTTTTTGTGGGTATTATTTTAGCTTTGTATTTTTAAAGGGGTCCTATTATGCTCTTTTACAAAGTCTTGATTTTATTTTGGGGGTGTACTAGAACATGCTCTCATGCTTGGTGGCTCAAAAAACGCATTATTTTTCACATAATTTACATTATTACAATACCTTTCTCCCCAGTCTGGCACAAACGGCTCAGGGTTGTGACGGTAAGGAAATTTTCCCACCGGTTAATCGTCACGTGACAACAACGGCAATAACGGTATCACCGAGGGGTGGGGTTCGTTGGAGTTTTCCCTCTTTTCCTTTGCTTTTAAATAGCTTAAATGCCCATGCGCATTTTACTTTCACTTTCGAATTAGCGTCAATTCGGCATCAATTCACCGAACTCACTTAAAAATAGAACTCAATTAAACATAGAACTTTCATTAACAAAATGAATAAAAATACACCATGCTATAGGCCTAATATAAAATAACAAATAAGTGCTCACTAACACAGATTTCGACAGATTTGTGAACAATATTTGAGAGAAATAGGCCTTTTGTGTACATAGAAAGTCTTAGATCTTGGAGTTGAGCTCATGAAAAATAGGGGCAAAAACAAAAGTGTTGCGTTTATAATTTTGTTCAGTGTAAATCTTCCGCCATCGTCTCGTCTGTCTCACCTCACTCTTGTCGGTCAACTCGACTCACTCTCCTCATGTGACAAATGAAATCTGACTCCTGCTGATGATCTGTGATGCGACTGTCGTTCGGCACTCTGCATCGAGCAGCCGTGTTCAGTTTATAATGGTATTGTCTGTTCTCTAACTGAACCAAATTATTTTTATTACAATAAAAAATTAAAACGACAGTGGGGGGCAGTGCCACGGTGAGCAAGGGATGTAACCGGTGTTGCGGCTTAACACCGTCAACACCGACTATCGCAGCAAGCCTAGTAGAAAACATCTGCTGCAAGGAAATTCAAAAGGCACAGGGGTGACAAAAACAGCGTTTCTTCGACATGGCGAAAACTTGATGCTGCAGCAGCACTTCTTCGTCGTCGTGTCTGATGCACTCAACAAAGCGTTCTAACCACGACCTCGCCCCTCCCCACCCCCCAACCATTCGAATTTCCGTAGGCGGATTTATTTTAATGATATTCTAATGAGCCGCTTTGTGACATCACAAAACCCGGAAAACAACGCTGTAGTCCAAACGAGCCGTTCGTTGTAGTTCCTGAAAAGGGATTTATTTAAAAAGTAATATCTCCCTTTGGAGTTATCTGACTGATTGCCACAACTGTCAAAGCATCTAGCAAAAATGACTCGCCATGGCAACGAATAAAGCAGAGAGAAATTACATTACCCAATAAGTATGAAGATAGTTTTGGTGCGAAACAACTGAGCGTCTGTGACACGGGATTTTGAAGTTGTAGAGAATAGCCACACATGTGTATCAGTAAATTTGAAGTCACAGACAGAAGTTGCAAACTTCTAGATTTTTTTTCTCTCCCACAAACACAACAGTAACACCTTCTCGAATCCTTCATTGCAGGTGCACAAATCCTATTCTACGAATCACAAATCAAGAAACTCGTATGCTCACATGTTTTTATTATCTTGCTGCAGTATATGGTGCAAAACACATTCACACACCTGCATCAAAAATGTGAAGTCACGGACGAATTTTGTACATCAGCAAATCAGTATGTGAATTCTTGCAATGAGATTTGCACACTTGTAGAATGTTTTCTTACATATATATTTTTTGGGATGCTTTTTCTAGCACAAACACAAGTACATAACGACAACGGCGTGAATTTGCTGCTACGAGTCTCAAACCTGTTTTTCGCTTGCAAATGACAAGTTTCGCGCACGCTCCCTTTTGCAGCACATATCTGTGTGAAATATGGTGCAAAAGTTATTTGTGCATCTGTTGAGGCAACGGCGGGCACTCTTCAGAGATCAAGAGAATTTTGGCTAATCAAGAAGAGCTGCACTGTTTTTGGTTTTTGTTATTCTTTATGGTTCTTCGGTTTTTTAATGTTCAGGTTTGTGGATCTAATCGTCTGCAACATCGGGGGTGTATCTTGGAGCCATCGTGACGTCATCAGCTGGTAAGTTAAATTATACAGTTATCCGAATCAATCAGGGAATTAATCAGGGAAGCATAATAATTCTAATCTGCTTTTTTATCGCAGGTTATGTCAGACATACGTTACATAACAGCGAGCTACCGTGAAAATAGTAAAGAAAAATGAGTTAAGAAACGCCGCTGTTATGTACATCTTTTGTATTTTATTTTCAGGTTGTGGTCTATTGGTCATGTCATCAGCAACGGAGGTGTATTGGAGTCTTTTCTTGTGATTGCATCGTAGAGGTGGTAACAACATCAACTACTATATCCATCAACTACGTGATGTTTTATTAACAAATTTCGGGAGGAGCATGCACAGATAATTAACACGGCCAATCCATCATCAGTAATTACATCATCTATCCAACCAGCACAAGAGAGAACCCCTATAAATAATCAAAGCAGTCTTACCTTCATTATCTCTAGTCTTTCAGCATTTCAGGGGGAGCGCTCTGGTTCCGGGCTAAAAGCCGAGCTCGGACCCCTCTCCCCAGACAGCACGCCAAATATGCATAATGCATTAGGTACACATTTTATTGAGTTAAGTTACCCAAACAGTACTTTCAAGTACTTTTTGTTTTCTAGTTTGTGGTCTGGATCACGTCATCTGCAATACATTCCAGATGGAGCCTTTTCTTGTGATTGCCAACGTTCTGACCATAAAGTGTAATAACACTAACAGGCTGTTGTGACTCTGTCCGTTACAGGAGATTTCTCCAAGCAAAAACACAGATGCTGATCTATGAGGGGCAGAATCATCATATGGCCAAGCTGTCAATTTTATTGAAATTAGGTAACCCAAAATACATTTGATTTTACATTATATTTACATTCATGCATTTGCCAGATGCTTTAATCCAAAGCAACTTGTGCTGCATTAGGTACACATTTTATTGAGTTAAGTTACCCAAACAGTACTTTCAAGTACTTTTTGTTTTCTAGTTTGTGGTCTGGATCACGTCATCTGCAATACATTCCAGATGGAGCCTTTTCTTGTGATTGCCAACATAACGGTGATAACATCAACTTGTAAGTTAGCCGAAGTAAACTAGTTAAAAGGTTGTTGTTTTTTTAATCGTTATACAATCAACTCTATTTCAGCAATATAAACACTAAGCTCTCAATGGCAAATGCAGAAAGGTTAATTCATGCATTCATGACCGCAAGGTTAGATTATTGTAATACTTTATTGGGTGGTTATTCTGCACACTTAATAAACAAACTCCAGCTGGTCCAAAATGCAGCAGCTAGAGTTCTTACTAGAACCAGGAAGTATGACCACACTGCACAGGCTCCCTATTAAACATCGTATAGATTTTAAAATCTTGCTAATTGATTTAGCGCTTCAGTATTTGAGTGAGATCTTATCACATTATAGTCCTCCACATCCGCTGCACTCTCAAAACTCTGGCCATTTGATAATACCTAGAATATCAAAATCAACTGCGGGCGGCAGATCCTTTTCATATTTAGCTCCCAAACTCTGGAATAA